TTTTCGATTGAGTTAATACTGACGATGCACAAATTCGTATTGTGCAAGATTAACAGTCGAGTATATGTAACGGTTTAATTAATGAGCAATAAACAGACAATCCATGGTAAAATTGTAAATAAGGAATCAACACCAAAATTTATAGTGGTTTGGTCCGGGTGACCAACTCCACTCTCGAAAACGACAGCGGTGGCCGGAGATCTTTATTAATAGATAAAAGTCACCAGGAGAGTGCACTCCGGGTGAATTACAATGCTTTCGGAGGAGAGAGAGACTTGATGTGTAGAGAGGTGTGTGTGTGATGTAGAGGTCTCAAGGTCATAAGGTGATGCCCTCTATGTGGAGAGGACTTACATTATATAGGTTTAGTAAGACGGTAAGGCGATGACGTGAGAGAGATGACTTATACTATTTTGGTATTTACAAATAAGGTAAGATTAGATCTCCGTGCGTATTCTGATATTCTCTTTCTCATGCTCCTATTCAGTCAGAGGAGAATCCTGGGCTTAGACGTGAGTTGGTGGGTGCTGGACTTGAATTAGAGTGTTAGAGTCAAGAGGGCGAATGACTCCATGAGATTGTGCAGGAGAGGGAGCATGGGACAAAGGAGGCAGAGATCCCCTTGGGGTGGTCTCCCTTGGGCGGCACCCCTTTGGGGTAGCCCTTGGGTTTGGGTTGCCCCCCTTGGGCGGCGCCCCTTTGGGTGTCCCCTTGAGCGTGTCCCTCTTGAACTCCTTATTGACTTTGACTTCTCCTTAATTTAGGCTCCTCCTTGACTTGTTGACTTAAACTCCGAGGTGACGTGGGCCTCTTTTGATTAATAGGGCCTGACCCAGTTGATTTTGGACTCATCAAATATAATAGACAAGCTCCAAGGCTTCGTGGTAACCAAATGTTACAGCAGCCAATGCAATTGCTGTGAGCCATTCTCCTTCAGTTATATGGTTTAATTGAAGCAGTCCGACACCACTTGCTTCCTGAATGAAATGTTCATCGTTGATGGCTTGGAGTTTGCTGCCATTGCAAACTACTATCTTTCCCATTACACTCTGAGGAATCATGTTGGCGGCAATTGCAGTGTCCTAGATAAACGAGTGGAAAGCTATCAGTATTGATTTTCTTACCCTAAAGAGATGAACTGATAAAAGTCTTGTTGTTTCCAAGTTGAACTGTCACCGGGAAAGTACGATCTATAGATCCAGCACCAGCGGTGGTCATCCATGGCGCTGTGTTATGAACTGAATATGCATGAGGCCTGAGATTTCCTGCTGAGCAGGCAACAAAATGTTCCTTTTTGCAGCTGCAAAGGCCGCTTTTGCCATTTCATTTTCATAATATGGTGCATCTTGGGATCCAAGTGAGGTAGACTATATATCTACACCATCCTTGATAGCACTTTCCATGGCAGGAAAAATTTCAGACTCGGATCATAAAACCTCACAAGCTTTATACACGGCAATCCTGGCCTTTGTTGCGATGTGCCGTTAGCAAAAACAAATACATTAGCATTAGCAACCTTGGATCCTGCTGCTGTTGAATCAGTCTGTGTGCCATGTCCCACTCCATCTCACGGGGATCGATAATCACCAAGCCCTTCCAATGATCTGCCAGACATGTAGTGCTCCATACCCTTGAGGAAGAACCTTGCACCAATGAGTTTCCTGTTACAATGAATAAGTATTGAATTCAGTTCCCTGTTCACATGCACCTTTCCACCAAGAGGGTATTGGCCCAATCCCAGTGTCCTTGAAGCTATCACTGTCCGGCCAAATTCCAGAATCTACCAGCCCAATTATAACATTCTCACCAAAGTTGGTCTCCGGCCACAGGCCAAAATCCAAATTCAGACCAAGAACTCCTGGGGACCGGGTAGTGTCTAACTTTATTGCGTTGTGTCTTTTTGAATTAATTGGTGAGGAAGCTGCCTGGGATGCTCCCTTGATGAGCGGTCAGAACAACAGTCTTTAAACCACAAATTATCTATAAAACTCCAAGATTTGACAGAAGGATCGGACACCATTCTCGAGTATCTCACCAATTGGATTGAACTTATCTGGGATTGCCTTGCCACAATTAATAAATATGTTGAAGACTCACATGTTAGGCATTACCCTATTGAGCATACCGGGAAAACTAGGTCACAGAAACAACCAAGGGTGTTTCCGTTCTCTGACATGATCAGTCTTATACATTATTGGATGAACTAACAAGCTAATGAGACTTCATTTGATATAGAAGTTAAAAATAAAATATTTGATAACAAAATGCTGGTGTAATGCCCTTTGAGCCGCATCGTACAATATTGCCACGTTTTGGACTAAGCTCGAAAGTTCAAGTCTGTCTTGTCAAGCACTTCAAATTCACACCTCATCAACCAATGTGAGATCTTCTAGTTGCCCTGGTTGCTATCAAAGTTGTGCCCATATTTGTTAAAGAAATTCAGATATTCTCCATTGAACTTTCACCCAATGATAGATCACTTATCATACATTCAAGTAGGAATCACTTTTTATAAGTAGACCCCTCTTCCATAGACGATAAATGATTTAATATTGAGTGTAACTTCAGTGAAACTGTAACAAAGAGGACCTCAATCTGTATTAAATTCTGTATTAAAGTGTAAAGTGTACAACTGGCGTGTAGTACGGTTGGCTTGGTCAGCCTCTAGCACTAAGTTGTAGTATCTCCCTAATGTCAATTTCCTTTTTCGTTTTAACTTGTGTGCAAATATTTTGCTCATGATGTATCTTGGGAAATGCACATCAAGTGAAAAACAACTCCACATCTCCATGACAACAATATTCTTGGCTAAATATCATGGACTTGTCATTAATTTAGGCTGATCATCACTCTCTTTTTAGACTCTTACAACTTGTAGGACTAGGAGTCTAGGACAGCAGAAAGTCAAAGTTATATAGATTTTTCCAATTCGAGAAGGGTGGCTCTGTTAGCACTCCATTTGTTGCTTCTAGCCCGAAATGATTTTCACTTAAATGAGAACTTTTAGGGCAAAGAATGGTGGGCTAACAGATCTACGCTCCAAAAATTTTCTAGGTCTGAACTCTCCGCTCAATAACCACTTCTAAATTGGCAACGAAAATGCATACATAAATGGGAGACAACCAGAAGGAAGGACAGTATAATTTAAAAAAAAAAAACTGAACAAAGAGAAAAAGTAGAGTAATAATGTTCTGCTTTTTCTAACAGATTATCATGTTGGAACATATTTAAAAGGCAGATTTCTCAAACACTTCTTATAAAACAAAAAAAAATACTTTTTTTTTATGAGATCGTCAAGACTTAAAAATGTTTAAACTATCATTTCCTAACTTTTTATGATTTCATTCTCAACTTACAAGCACCACAACAACTAGTTTGTGTTGGACCAGACTCAGACTGAGACTGCACCTGACAAGTGGTAGCCGAAATGCTGGGGAGATTCTAGCTATTTTCTTTAAATTTGATAAAATTAAGTACAATTCCAACAATTTTTCCGTACTAATACACCAGACAGAACTTTCAAAACTTCGTCATTGCAAGTAAACATCAATCCTCCAAAAGTGATATCTCACCACAACAACATCATGAAAACTCAAGTATACTTAATTAAAACAAATCCTCATCCTACAAATAAAATTTTCTATTGAATTACCTTGATCCTTTGGAGATTTCAGTTCATCACTTTAGAGCGGTAGGAACTACAATATTCCTCAGGCATGTTGTGGAGCAATCCAAAGACAATTGATTTGCCCTACAAAACTAGGAATTCCAGCAAAAGTGTAGGCCCCCTTGTGCATGTGACGACACCATTGTGTTCCCAATGAAGACTTCCATCCTAATATGCTACCTTCACTCTATACACCACATAACCCAAAATATCCTGAATTCAAAGACTATTTAAACTCATTGTACCAAAATTGTTTGGCAGTCACAATGACACTGATTTCAATACCACCACTCTGCTATTGATTATCATCCACCAAAACCTGCTTATGTAAACAGACTCCCAATTCTCTGAAATGTAGTCAGTGGGGTAAAGAAAATTTGCATTCAGATCCTTATCCTTCTAAAGAATCCAAAAAAACAACTTTGTAAACCACAAACAAGTCCTTGGCATACGCTCTAAACCCAATATGAACATTTCTAAGTTCTGTGTGAATTCAGCCCATTAATAAAAATCAGCTCCTTCTGCAACAGCCTCTGCAGCTTCCTATTCTATAAAAGTTGGGGTTCTAAGGATCACTCTCTCCTCCATGTTATACATTGAAAATGTTGGAGGATGGACAACCACCATCTTTTCAAAGGTGTTAGAAAAGAACTTAATAAGCAACTTTAAATTTTCCTCTAATGTCCTAATCCATCTCAGCATCCTCCTAAACCTGTCGATGCATTCATTCCTTAAGACTAGAGCAACAAATCATGAAGAACCAAGGTTGCCTCCTCAAGAGAATTGAGAATGAGAGCAAACAACCCCAGCAACACAATAGATATCAAACATTTGATAACAATGTCAATTAAGGTTTCTGGTAGCTACCCAGTATCACTGCCACAAACTGCAAATCAAACTTCACCATTATCATCATTGGGATTTATGAATATCGACTTCAATAAAGGCTTCAACTTCGTTTATCAAATTACCTTGATCCTCCACAGATCTTCTCCAGCACTTGCATAGTTAGCAACAAGTACAGTTTTCATAAGCACGCAATTCGGTATTCTAAAATTCAACTGCTCTCAATTTCAGCAAGCCCATAATTGGGAGTTTCAAACAAATACATGATTTAATATTCCCTTGCAAATATGTGTCGATGCTAAATAACCTTTTTTACTGCTTTAACCATATTTTCCTGTACTTCTGATGGTACATTTATTTGTAAAGGGACTCTCAGAGCAAGACTTCAAGAAGTTAGTTAGGTGTGTGGACAAAAACATGATTTCAAGCTCAAAAGTGCAGAAGCTCATATCAAAAGAATAAGATAAATATGGCATTTATATTATTATTATTCACAAAAATCCAAAACATGGCCATTATAAGCCATCAACAACTGCTCAGCATCATCTATAAACCTTGATATAAACTTCTCCAAGAACTCCACCTCTGGTAACATCAGTAGAGTAATAAAACTAGGCTGTTTCTTCAACAGCCTATTTGAGGCAATAATCTGCAAAACTCTGTACCGAGGGATCACTCTTTCCTTCATGCTGTGCATTAAACATGTTGGATTACGAACTAACACTGTCTTATCAAACTTCATGTTATTCATGAAAAACTGAATTCCAAGTTTTAGCTTCTCCTCGGACGTTCTAAGCAACCCCGGTGTCCTCCTGAACATGTCCATACATTCAATCTCTGAGAACCCAAAACTTTGAAACAAATGCAATTTCTTCATAAATCTGTCACTACTCATACAGCTGACAGTATATAGGCCATGAACCAACATTCTGGATTCCAACACAAAACCCATGTCTAAAACCTTAGAAACAAGGTTTTTAAGATCACAGTGGCGCATAATGAAGAGTCGAGGTTGCCTTTTCAATAGCATTGAGAGCTGAGACCCAGCTATCCCACAACTCTCTAAATATAAAACATTGGACAACAATCTTGTTTGAGGGTCTTTGGCAGTAAGCCAACAGCCCCGCCACAACACCCGGATCAAATCTTTATTTCTATCACCATTTACAAGAATTTTCTTGAGAATTACAATACAAGGCTTCAACTTTTTATCCAAACTACTAGTTAAAATTGAGGAATTCTTGGAAATGAACTTACCAAATTCAGAACCAGAAATACCCAGTTCTAGGAAAAACTCCACCTTTGGTTT